CTGAAACCTTGGGAAGTCACTCCAGCACCGTGGGAACTGGACGTAGTACCTCCTGGAGCTGTTTTGAGGATTCAGTAAGGTTATCTATGTGAGGAACATATGAAATGGATGGACTCCAGCCACATGATGGTCATCAACCACCACTCATGTGATACTGAACATTTTCGCTTCTGCCTGAGAAGATAATGTCCACTGATAGAAAATGGAACCATACGCTGTAGTCAGGAGTCCTTATGTCATTGTTTTAGTGTTCCATTGCTACCAGAATAAATGATTGCAAATGTACAGGCTGAAAATAATGCAAATGATTATCATAGTTTTGTAGGTCAGAAGTCCAGTTCTAAATCAAGGTGTCAGCAGGGTTGCATTCCTTTTTAGAGGCCCTAGGGGAAAATTTCTTTCCAGCTCATTTAGATTGTTGACAGAACTCAGTTCCTTGAGGTTGTAGTACCAAGGTCTGTTTTGCTGGCTGTCAGCTGAGGGCTGTTGCCAGCTTCCTTCCTCCATTGTCAAAGCCTGCAGCAAGTCCTTTTCAGGTTCCCTCTCTGACCCCTTCTTCTTCCTCCGTCTTAGACTACAGACACTCATGTGCTTGAATCAGGCCCACCCAGATAATCCAAGATCATCTCCCTATTTTAAGGGCAACTGATTAGTAAGCTTAGTTCCAATGCAACCTTAATTTCCCTTTGCCATGTAAGGTAATAGTCATGGGTTCCAGAAATAGAAGACATCTTTGAGGGGCCATTACTCTGCCTACCACATCCAGTGAACCAGAATTTAGTTGGGAATTTTTTTTTTTTGAAATGGAGTCTCGCTCTGGAGCAGCTGGACAGAGTCAGGCAGAGTACGGTGGCACGATCTTGGCTTACTTCGACCTCTGCCTCCCGGGTTCAAGCAATTCTTTTGCCTCAGCCTCCCTGGTAGCTGGGACTGCAAGCACACGCCATCATGCCCAGCAAATTTTTGTATTTTTAGTAGAGACGGGGTGTCACTGTATTGGCCAGGTTACTCTCGAACTCCTGACCTCGTGATCCACCCACCTCAGCCTCCCAAAGTGCTGGGATTACAGGTGTGAACCACTTCGCCCAGCCTTGTTGAGATCTTTAATAGGTAATTTATCCTTACCTTTTATTTTTTTCATCCAAAGACTCAAGTGACCTACCATGTAGGATAGGTAATATTTATTGAGCACTTACTTGCTGTGAGCTTGGCCCTTGGCACTAAGCTCTTTTAAGAGTCTTTGAGGTGGATTCTATTATCCCCATTTGTAAGCAAGGAAACTACATTTTGGAGAAGTTAAATAATTGTTGAAAATAATTCAGCTGGTGAGGGAGGCAAACATTTCAGTAGGCTGCTGTACCTCAGAGGTTTGGCTGGCCATCAGCCTTCACATGACAGGCATACTAATTAGAAATCAGTGTCTTGATTTTCTTTAAAAGTTTCAGTTTTGCTAGCAGAAATTGTTGTTTATGGCCGGGCATGGTGGCTCATGCTTGTAATCCCAGCACTTTGAGAGGCTGAGGCAGGCGAATTACCTGAGGTCGGGAGCTCAAGACCAGCCTAGCCAATATGGTGAAAAAAGATACAAAAATTAGCCAGGCATGGTAGCGGGTGCCTGGAATCCCAGCTACTTGGGAGGCTGAGGCATGAGAATTGTTTGAACCCAGGAGGCAGAGGTTACAGTGAGCCAAGATTGCATCACTGCATTCTAACCTGGGTGACAGAGGGAAACTCTGTCTCAAAAAAAAAAACAAAACAAAACAAGGAATTGTGTTCATGGATGTGGTAAGAAAATAAAAACTGAAGTCAGATATGTATTAAAATGATTGAGTTATAAAATATTCTAGATAAAACTGTTTCTCTGAAAATGCAAAAAAAAAAAACTTGATTTCTGGCTTGTGCTAAATCACAAACTGTTTTTTTGAAGTCAGAATGTTGTTTTGTCTGAAATCATGGAGTTATCTGCCAAGAGAGATCTGATTTGTAACAGGGTGGGTGGATGGGCTCAGTATTTTTATTTATTTTTTTTTTTATTATTTTTTGTGTTTTTTTTGTAGTGCACCCAGAGTCTCTGAAATATTTTTTTAGTGAGATATTAGACTATGATGTTTTGTTATACTATAAGTGATATGTAACCAAACAAGAAAATTTTCCTAGCAACAAAGTTGTTTTCCTGAATCAGAAGAATGCTTTTGTGTGCTCATTTTTTTTACTGTCCAAAAGATTAAAAAGCTTGTGAATTTAGCATTTTGTTTTTTCAGACTTAGCATATATTTAGGTAGAGAACCACCTTGTTTTTTTCTATTGTTGTTTTTGGTTTAGTTTTTTTGTTTTCTTTTTTGGAGACGGAATTTTACTCTTGTTGTCCAGGCTGGCGTGCAATGGTGCAGTCTCAGCTCACCGAAACCTCTGCCTCTCGCGTTCAAGCAATTCTCCTGGGATTACAGGCATGTGCCACCACACCTGACTAATTTTGTATTTTGAGTAGAGACAGGGTTTCTCCATGTATGTCAGGCTGTCTGCCTTGGCCTCCCAAAGTGCTGGGATTACAGGTGTAAGCCACCGCGCCCTGCCAAGAACTACCTTGTTTTTATGCCAGACCCAATTGTTGGACATGATTATTTCACTTGCCCTCATAAGCCTCTTTTTACCTCTCCTTGTTCTTCATTAATCTGGTAAGGGACCCAGATATTTCAGTAGACTGCTATACCTCAAAGTTATGGCTGGCAATCAGCCTTCACATGGCAGTCATACTAATTAGAAATTAATGTTTTGATTTTTTTTTTAAGTTTTAATTTTGCTAACAGAAATTGTCATTTGTGTTCATAGATGTGTTAAGAAAATTAAAACCCAAACTTTTGAATTCTAGACAGACTTGAGATCTGAGAAAAAAAACAACAACAACAAACTTTTTTACATTCATCAGATTTCTAAGTTCTGCCCCATTTCCATTGGTTTGTTTTGAGACAGGGTCTCACTCTTGCCCAAGCTGGAGTGCAGTAGTGCAGTCATGGCTCCCTGCAGCCTCAACCTCCCTGGCTTAAGTGATCCTCCCACCTCAGCCTCCTGAGTAGCTGAAACCACAGGCATGTGTCATCACACCTGGCTAATTTTTGTATTTTTTATAGAGACAGGATTTCAGCCTGTTGCCCAGGCTGATCTTGAACTCCTGGATTCAAATGATCTACCTGCCTCGGCCTCCCACAGTGCTAGAATTACAGATGTGAGCCACTGCCCCGGCCTTCTATTTGATTATTCAACAAATATTTGAATACTATGTGCTAGGAGGCCCAAGGGATAGTGTACACTCATGAAGCTTACAGATTAATGAAAGATTCAAAGAAGAAATAATTATGCAATCAGGAAATGCATGAGTGCTATGAAAGGGAATAGAAAGTTCTGCTAAATTGAAGGACAGAGTATAAAGAAAGCTTTGATGTAAAGGATGAATAACATTTAGCCAGGCAAAAATTGGGATTGACCGGTCTTGGTCAAGGGGTATACTTGGCAAAGTTCTTGTCCCAATAGGGAGTTTGGCAAGTTCAAGCAACAGCAAAAAGGCCTCTAGGGAGTAGGTGGGTGTGTGTTCATGTCTGTATATGTGTGTTCGCTTGTGTGCATGCACGTGAGGGGGCAGGGTGGGGAGTGGCTCTGGAGGAGGAGAAGGGCACAGATTCTGAGTCCTGTAGCAGTCTTGTTCAGAGCATCAAGTAGACCTGAGAATTGTTGATCATTGATCCGCCAAGTAATCCATATGGCCTTGTTTCCCAGAACTCAATTGTCAAGTGGATGTGGTGACCATTATCATCAAAACCAGGGTACTCTGTTTTTTAACTTTTTTTTTTTCTGTGTTGCTCAAGCTGGTCTTGAACTCCTGGGTTCAATGGATCCTCCCACCTCGGCCTCCCAAAGTGCTGGGATTACAGGTGTGAGCCACTATCCCCGGCAAACCAGGATACTCTTGAGAGTGAAAGAGGACACTATTGATTATGCTGGGACAATGGATATAAAATAGTGCTTATAGACCAGTTCTCAGCCACTCCAGGGAGCCCCAAAGTTGCCTAGAAACCGTGCTCTGAAATGACAGGGTTTGTCACGTGCTCCTGCTTTCTTACTTTCCCCCTCCTTCACCCGTGAATAACTCTGAAAGAGGGCCACCAGGAGAAACTGCTCCAAGTCTATACAACAGAATCATAGCCCCATGGCCTACCCAGCTGCAGCCTCCTGTTTTTCAGACTGCCATCTGATCTCTGACTATTAATGTGTTTTCAGAATTAAAGTCTAAAAAACATATAGAAAAGAAAGTAAGGCCTTAAAAGTTTAGCACATGAACTTTTCCCACTAGAAACTTTTCTTACACCGCTTCTTAAGGATGACATGAGCTAATTATGTGTTCTGGGATGATGGCTAGGCAGAATGGGTGTGGTCTGATTCTAACTTCTTTCAGAGTAAACATGTTTTGTGGATTGGCCCCTATGGTGGATAATGGTGAATAATGCATGGGGCGAATACCTACAGGAAGCCTTCCCATAGGTGTAAAATCTTCCAACAGTGACAGCACCATGAAATAGTAAATCTTCCTCTTTTAGGAAGATTTATGTCAGGAAATAAAAGAGGAGGAATTATTGATTTTTTTTTAAATAGAACCAACTGTTTGGCTGAATCTACATAATGAGAATTAATGGAGCTTTATTTCCTGCTCTCTCTGCCCAAGTCACTCTACAACAGGGCCCTCAGAGACCTAGTAACTTCTTCAACTTACTGAGAGGTGGATCACTTTGCAGTATAACATTTAATGGTTGGCAAGGCAACTGTGAGAATGTAAGATCTCTGTCCTCCTCAGCCTTTCTTTAGCAAGCCCCAAAGTCCTCAATAAAATGGTTTGACTCTGTCCCCTGCAATAATTTTTAATGTTCATGTTCAGCCAAATACTCAGGACACTGAGTTGTTGCACTGTTTCTTTTCAAACTGCATTAAAGCTCTTTCTTTTGTTTCAAAAGCCAGGAAATGTGAAGAATTCACCTGGAACTAAGTAGAAAACTCCATGCTCTGCCCATCTTAATCAGGTAAAGAATAAGAAATCTCTGATTATTTTCAGCATTGTAGTGCCAGCTGAAATGACTTGTCTTTCGTTTAATTAATTGTAACAGTTCAAACTTGATGTGAAAATATAACGGTCATATTTTCTTCCATCTTTAATTTCTGGGCTTAAATGCTGTGCCTTATTTATGTTTGTTCCACTGATGGAACAAAATAAATACCTGGGTATTTTAGACAAGCTAGAACCAGGCAGTTGGTATTTGTCTATAGATCGATTTCAAACAATTGAAAAGTATCATTATTCCTTAGGTTTATTATTTTCAAACAATACTTTATTATAGTAAGTACACTTGTATTTATCTAATAATGAACACTGAAATGTGTGACTGTTACAGAGAGGCTCGAAACACTAGTTATATTGCTTGTGTATAAATGAAAAATTGTATAATAGCACTTGTGATTCCCTGGTAATTAGAAGACTAATTGAATTTAGAAACAACCTAGATATTCAACTACAGGAAAATGGTTTAATTATGGTATATCCATAAAGAGGAATATTATTATTCTGTTTCTGCAATATTTAATTGCATGGGAACATATGCACAATTATTGTTAAATGAAAAAAAAGGGAGTGTGATATGTTTATAGGGGGGATGAAGCCAGGCGATATACCAGAAAGTGTGTATATTTCAGTGGTATGATGATTTTTATGTTTTTTCTTCTTTATAATTTTCTGTATTTTAAAATTTTTCTGCAATGAATGTGCATTTTATAATCAGAAAATTTTTTTGGAAATTGGTGTTACATTTATTATAAATCATGGCCCCTACTTGAAATTTATGAAAACCCTGAGTTTGAAGGGTTTTTTTCCCTCAAGCTTTCTTTATATTTTTGGAGACCCAAAGAGTCACATAAACTGAGAATTTGAGAGAGATTATCTGGCCCAACCCCCAGCCCCAAGCAGAGTCCCCTGGAGCCCTGTATGTTCCTCCTTTTACACCAGCACTGATGGGAAACTCACTCCGTGGGGCAGCCATCTTGGGACAGTTCTGATTTTTCGGAAGCTATTTCTTCTGCTAAGCAAAAATATGTCTTCTTAGTGGTCACAGAGAACAAATCCAGTTCCTCTTTCACATCATAGCAGTTTATACAGTAACCCAAAATCAGTAGTTCTCAGATATAAACTATTACCCAGGGAGCTTGTTAAAAGGCAAAAGCCACCCCACAATCAGCATCTCTGGTGAATGGGGCCAGATACGCCGTTAGAAGGATGACTAGAGCTAGGCTCGGTGGGTCACGCCTGTAATCACAGCACTTTGGGAAGCCAAGGCAGACACATCACAGGGTCAGGAGTTTGAGACCAGCCTGGCCAAATAGCGAAATCCTGTCTCTACTAAAAATACAAAAATTAGCCGGGCGTGGTGGCAGGTACCTGCGATCTCAGCTACTCAGGGGGCTGAGGCAGGAGAATTGCTTGAACCCAGGAGGCGGAGGTTGCAGTGAGCCAAGACTACACCATTGCACTCCAGCCCAGACAACAGTGCAAGACTCTGTCTCCAAAAACAAAAAAAAGGATGAGTAGAGGGTGAGCAGCCACAGAGTGACACATGTCCTCTAGAGACTTGACTTTTAATATGGTTATATTTCTCTCTCTCTTTTTTTTAATCCCTGTCAGCCAGAATGGTTATATTTCTCTACAGGGATAATGAAAGATATAGAATAAAGGGAAATTAGCTAAATATCCATTTCAGTTTTCAAAGATACTCTGCACCAGAGTTCAGCTTGCTGTAATACACAACCTTGATTTCATTCTTTATTTTTTTTAGATCTTTGTTGGAGGAGGTGTAGCTTTTAATTATAAAAGTGATTTGTGTTGGTTATAAAAAATGTTTTTAGCTAAATATTTTAAAAGCTTGTCTTATCCCTTATTCTTTTTTTTTTTTTGAGAGAGAGTTTTGCTCTTGTTGTCCAGGCTGGAGTGCAGTGGCACAATCTCACTCACTGTAACTTCTGCCTCCCAAATTCAAGTGTTTCTCCTGCCTCAGTCTCCCAAGTAGCTGGGATTACAGGCATGTGCCACCACACCCGGCTAATTTCATATTTTTAGTAGAGATGGGGTTTTACCGTGTTGGTCAGGCTGGTCTTGAACTCCTGACCTTGGGTGATCCACCTGCCTCAGCCTTCCAAAGTGCTGGGATTACAGGCATGAGGCACCACACCTGGCCCTTTATTCTTTTTTCCAGAGGTAATCTTTGTTAATAGTTTAGTATATCATTCCAGACTTTTAGAGAGAGAGAGAGAGAGAGAGAGAGAGAGAGAGATTGAGAGAGAGACACACACACACATAGACAGACAGGGTGTAGTGACTCAAACCTGTAATCCTAGCACTTGGGGAGGCCGAGGTAGGTGGATTACATGGGACCAGCCTGGGCAATATAGCAAAACCCTATCTCTACAAAAAATTTAAAAAAATAGCCAATTGTGGTTGGCAAACATCTGTAGTCCCAGCTACTCCAGAGGCTGAGGTGGGAGGATCACCTGAGCCTGGGAGGTGGAGGTTGCAGTGAGCTGTGATCACACCACTGCCCTCCAGCCTGGGCAACAGAGTAACACCCTGTCTCAAAAACATACACACACACACACACACACACACACACACACACATACACATATATATTGTTTAAAATTTATAAATTAAATTTATATAACATTCATGCATACATACATGTTTTTGTTTTTTTGACAAAATGGGATCATATTCCTCATATTGTTCTGCAAGTTCACAGAAAACTTTCTTTTTACTGTTATTTATTTGGGGGTATGGGATCTCGCTGTGTTACCCAGACTGGACTCCAACTCCTGGGTTCAAGTGATCCTCCCACCTCACCCTCCTGAGTAGCTGCACAAAAAACTTTCTGAAGGCATATAATTGTAATTTTATTATCACACATAAAGAAATTAAGGCCCAGGCGGGGCGCATTGGCTCACACCTGTGGTCCCAGCACTTTTGTAGGCCAAGGCAGGTGGGTCAGGAGTTCGAGACCAGTCTCGCCAATATGGTGAAACCCCATCTCTACTAAAAATACAAAAATTAGCCAGGCATGATTGCGCGTGCCTGTAGTCTAGCTATTTGGGAGGCTAAGGCAGGAGAATCACTTGAACCAGGGAGGCAGAGGTTGCAGTGAGTGGAGGTTGCACTGAGCTGAGATCGTGCCACTGCTCTCCAGCCTGGGCAACAGAGCGAGACTGTCTCAACAACAACAACCACAACAACAAAAATTGATGTCGCTCATGCCTGTAGTTCAAACTACTCAGGAGGCTGAGGCAGGAGAATTAGTTGAGCTCAGGAGTTTGAGACCAGCCTGGGCAACATGGTGACACCCTGTCTCTCCAAAAAAATGTGTAAAAATTTAGCTGGTTGGCCTGGCATGTTGGCTCACACCTGTAATCCCAGCACTTTGGGAGGCTGAGGTGGGCGGATCACGAGGTCAGGAGTTCGAGACCAGCCTGACCAATATGGTGAAACCCCATCTCTACTAAAAATACAAATATTAGCCGGGCGTAGTGGCAGTGCCTGTAATCCCAGCTACTCAGGAGTCTGAATCAGGAGGATTACTTGAGCCTTAGGAGGTCAAAGCTGCAGTGAGCCATGATTGTGCCACTATACTCCAGCCTGGGTGACAGAGTGAGACCCTGTCTCAAAAAAAAAAGAGCTGGGCATGGTGGCTTATGCCTGTAATCCCAGCACTGGGAGGCTGAGGCAGGTGGATCACCTGAGGTCCGGAGTTTGAGACCAACCTGGCCAATGTGGTGAAACCTTGTCTCTACTAAAAATAGAAAAATTAGCAGGGTGTGGTGGCAGGTGCCTGTAATCCCAGCTACTCGGGAGGCTGAGGCAGGAGAATTGCTTGAACCAGGAGGCAGAGGTTGCAGTGAGCTGAGATCACGTCACTGTACTCCCAGCCTGGGCAACAGAGAGAGACTTCTTCTCCAAAAGAAAGAATTCGTCTCCAAAAGAAAGAAAAAAAGAGAGAGAAAGAGAGAGAAAGAAAGAAAGAAATTAGCACTCATTCCTTAACATCATCTAATATCCAGTCAATGTGCATATTTCCTTGGTTGTTTCATTAATAACCTTTTACAGTTGGTTCCTTTGAACCAGGATCCAAACAAGATATGCCCGTTGTGTTTGATAGGTCTCTTAAGTCTCTTTGAACTGTAATAGTTTCCACTCCCTCATTGTCCTTTGCCATTTATTTGTTGAAAAACCTGGTGGATTTGTCCTTTAGAATTTCCTATGTTCTACAGGGATTGAGCTGGGAGGAAGAATAAAAGAATTTCTCATGTTCTGGCTGTGGCCGAATGTATACATTTAGTAGTATTCTGTTTATCTCTTGGTTCCTTTCTTCCCTGTATTTCCCATAAGCTTATGGTTGGATTTGAAGGCTTGATCAGACTTGGGTTCAATGTTTTTTTGCTGAGAATGCCATAGACAGCACTATGTTTAACTATGTTGAATGAATGAATGAACTTGTTTTATGTAATATATTGTGTAAATATTTCCTATTGGTACTTAATAGATCTACCTATTCCTTCTCTAGTTGCTTAATGATTTCCTAGTATAGACTACCATCCTTATCAACATAGATTGTTTCCAGATTTTAGTTTTTAACAATGCAGTAAATCTATCAAATTCCTAGGGAAGACAAAAACAGAATAATAAACTGAGATAGGAAAAATGAGCTAGTAGTTTATATGTTTAAGAATATTTGGGCTGGGCGCCGTGGCTCACACCTGTAATCCCAGCACTTTGGAAGGCCGAGGTGGGTGGATCACGAGGTCAGGAGATTGAGACCATCCTGTCCAACATAGTGAAACCCTATCTCTACTAAAATACAAAAAATTTGCCGGGTGTAGTAGCACACGCCTGCAGTCCCAGCCACTTGGGAGGCTGAGGCAGGCGAATCGCTTGAACCCGAGAGGTGGAGGTTGCAATGATCCGAGATCGTGCCACCACACTCCAGCCTGGTTACAGAGAAAGACTCCATTGCAAAAAAAAAAAAGCAATTTTTGGTTGTATATTAAAAGATCAAGTGAGTAGTCACTGGCCTCTAAGATATTTAAAATCTCTTAATTGCTAAGTACATTAATTACAAATTATGAAAAAAAAACATGTGCAGTGGGTCATGCCTGTAATCCCACCACTTTGGGAGGCTGAGGTGGGTGGATCACTTGAGGTCAGGAGTTCAAGACTAGCCTGGCCAACAGGGTGAAATGCTATTTGTATCAAAAATATAAAAAATTAGCCGGGTGTGGTGGCGCGTGCCTATGTTCCCAGCTACTCAGGAGGCTGCGGCAGGATAATTGCTTGAACCCGGAGGTGGAGGTTGCATTGAGCTGAGATCACGCCACTGCATTCCAGCCTGGGCAACAGAATGAGACTCCGTCTCAAAAAAAAAAAAAAAAAAAAAATCAGAGCTTGGCATGGTGGCTCATGCCTGTAATCCCAGCACTTTGGGAGGCTGAGGCAGGTGGATCATGGGGTCAAGAGATTGAGACCGTCCTGACCAACATGGTGAAACCCCGTCTCCACTAAAAATACAAAAATTAGCCAGGTATAGTGGTGCGAGACCGTAGTCCCAGCTACTCGGGAGGCTGAGGCAGGGGAATTGCTTGAACTCGGGAGGCGAAGATTGCAGTGAGCCAAGATCATGCCACTGCACTCCAGCCTGGCAACAGAGCAAGACTTCGTCTTAAAACAACAACAACAACAACAACAACAAATTATCAAGAAAGCAATCTGGAGAAGACTCGTTTGTCTTTGGCATATCTTTGAATATATGTGTATTTTATTCCAGAAAAGTATGATGAGGGTGATGTGAGGAAAATTATACATCAAGCTGAGGGTGATGTAATCATGCTGTCCAGCAGATAGATGGAAATGTAGTTGTTTAATCTTCAGATGTGATGTGTACTGTGCCATTTAGGCATTTATTTTTTTTATTAATCCATCCATCTGGTTAATCACGCTCAGATACATAGCTAGTTGAGAATCCGAATGTAGTATATGTAGTATTGATGGAGCACAAAATTTCTTTTTTCTTTTTTTTTTTTTTTTTTTTGAGATGGAATTTTGCTCTGTCACCAGGCTGGAGTGCAGTGGCATGATCTTGGCTTACTGCAACCTCTGCCTCCTGGGTTCAACTGATTCTCCTGCCTCAGCCTCCCAAGTAGCTGGTACTACAGGCACCCGCCACCATACTGGGCTAATTTTTTGTATTTAGTAGAGACGGAGTTTCACTATGTTGGCCAAACTGGTCTCGAACTCCTGACCACAGGCGATCCACCTGCCTCAGCCTCCAAAAATGCTGGGATTATAGGCATGAGCCACCGCACCCGGGCTTCTTTCTGATTCTTAGTTTAACTCTCTGTGAAATGGGAATAATTAGAGTTTTCTCTGGCTCATGCTTCTTATGGTCATATAATGGTGATGTAAATATTTTCTATGGCTTCTGTATTTATTTATTTATTCTGAGATGGAGTTTTGCTCTCGTTGCCTAGGCTGAAGTGCAATAGTGTGATCTCGGCTCACTGAAAACCTCTGCCTCCTGGGTTCAAGCGATTCTCCTGCCCCAGTCTCCTGAGTAGCTGGGATTACAGGCACCTGCCACCATGCCCAGCTAATTTTTTTGTATTTTTAGTAGAAACGGGGTTTCACCATGTTGGCCAGGCTGGTCTCGGCCTTCTGACGTCAGGTGATACACCCACCTTGGCCTCCCAAAGTGCAGGGATTACAGGCATGACCCACTGCATCTGGGCTGGTTTCTCTACTTAAATCTGAAGGATTTCCATAATGCAAAATTTTATAGTTATTTTTATTTTTTCTGGCACAGTTTACTTATGTTTTTCTTTTCTTTTCTTTTTTTTAGTTATAGGTAAACATTGGAAACTCCATAGAATAAATCAGTATTTCTACAGAAAAATGGCAGAGAAATCAGTATTGAATGTATTAAATTGGCTTTCTTCTTCAGGAAAAACTAGACCAGACTTCTGTTATCTTGGGTGATACCATCCTACAAGCAAACTAATCTGAAACCCTTTCACCTAGAGATAATGTACAAGCCTTAGAACTCCTCGTTCTCATGTTGCTATTTATGTACATAATTAAAACCCAAGTTAAAAAAAAGTTGTCCGATATCATTGAGTGATGGTCTAAGTGTATCTGGTGCCTGTGTGTATGGTATGTATGGTGTGTGTGTATGCATGGGTTGTGTGTGTGGTGTAGTGGTATGCATGATGTATGTGTGTTAAAGACAGCAGGTAACTCTTCTTAGGGAACTATCAGCTTGCAGCCTGCAGAGTCTGGGCCCCACAACACAGAGTAGAGAAGAGTAGCTCTGGAGTCAGAGAGATGCTTCAGTAACCAGCACAAGAAACAAAACTTGTAAGTAATACAGTTTGCCTGACAATGATTAGAAGACATACAAAACAGTAACAGTGATCCCTTATTGTGGCTGTCACCTCCTAGTCTGTACAGAACTTGCAATTCTTGAATGCCAGTGGGAGATTCAGAATGAAGAAGTCTATGTCCTCTGCCAGTGGATGAATGGGGATGTGGTGTGTTTTTGGGTTCTCTGTATGTGTGGCTTGTGTTTTCCTCCTCTGTGGCCCCTGAATGCACAGCTCATTGAACTCTGGATTCCCACTGCAGGAGCCTCTCTTGGCTTAGCCAGCCAGGAAGGATGGCAGGGGAACTAAATGTGAAAGAGAATTTAGAATTTCCAGATTTCAATTAGATTTGGGAACTCATCTTCCTTGTATATTTGTATCATCAATTTAATTCCTAATTGTTGACCTTCCAGAACTGATAGCAGTCGGTTAGATAGCAATACACAGATGGACATACACATATTCATGTCATATATATTTAAGAGAGCCAAAATGGCAGGAACAGTGCCAGCATTGTTACTGGATTAATGAGCTGAAGCAAATTTGTCCCTAGAATGATCTTTGTAGTCACCCAGATGTCTTTTATTTCCTTTTATGCCAAAGTACTTTTGTGTTACTGTGTCAGTCACCCAAATATATGAAACCCATACTTATATCTCATTATAAAAATGCTATTATTTCAGACTTTGTTCATTTGGCTTGGCCTCCGACGTCATCCCTGGAAAGTAGCAATTTCATGAGTTTCTTCCTTGTGATTACCTGATCTAGCAAAGATTAAGAAGAAATGGCCTACAAGTCAGCATGCTTAGGTCATTAATCAATAGATATTTGAGTGCCTCTTATCTGTAAGATATTACCTCCCATTTTCAGTTCTTTACTCAGTATTGAAACATTGCTTTAAAACATTTTAGGCCAGGCGCAGTAGCTCACACCTATAATCCTAGCACTTTGGGAGGCCAAGGCAGGTGAATCACTTAAGGCTGGGAGTTTGAGACCAGCCTGGCCAACGTGGTGAAACCCTGTCTCTTCTAAAAATACAAAAATTAGCCAGGCAGGCCGGGCACGGTGGCTCAAGCCTGTAATCCCAGCACTTTGGGAGGCCGAGGCGGGTGGATCACGAGGTCAAGAGATCAAGACCAATCCTGGTCAACATGGTGAAACCCCGTCTCTACTAAAACTACAAAAAAATTAGCTGGGCATGGTGGCGCGTGCCTGTAGTCCCAGCTACTCAGGAGGCTGAGGCAGGAGAATTGCCTGAACCCAGGCGGCGGAGGTTGCGGTGAGCCGAGATCGCGCCATTGCACTCCAGCCTGGCTTACAAGAGCGAAACTCCGTCTCAAAAAAAAAAAAAAAAAGTTAGCCAGGCATGGTGGTGCATGCCTGTGGTTTCAGCTATTCAGATGGCTGCGACACAAAAATTTCTTGAACCCAGGAGGCAGAATTTGCAGTGAGCCAAGATCGATCCACTGCACTCTAGCCTAGGCGACAGGGTGAGACTTCGTCTCAATAAAAAGAGAAAGAAGGCTGGGGGCAGTGACTCATGGCTGCAACTTTGGGAGGTCGAGGCAGACGGATCACTTGAAGTCAGGAGTTCAAGACCAGCCTGGCCAACATAGTGAAACCCCATCTCTACTAAAAATATAAAAATTTACTGGGCATGATAGCGGGTACCTGTAATCCCAGCTACTCAGGAAGCTGAGGCAGGAGAATAGCTTGAACCCAGGAGGAGGAGGTTGCAGTGAGCCAAGATGGCACCATTGCACTCCAGCCTGGGTGACAGAGCAAGACCCTGTTTCAAAAAAGAAAATTCAAAATATAGGCAAAATTCCTGTGCTCACATATACAGATAGAAAAATGTGACTCCTCAAAGTTAAATAGCAAATCAATAACAGGTAAAATTAGGCCATGTAGTTAATATTGTTGATTTTTATTAGTCTAAAGATATACTTGAGAATCCTTGCATTCAGAAAAAATAATAGATAGGGGTTATATTTTCCTCGTCTTATCTCTTTCTGGTTTTGGTTGATTTTTTTTTTTTTTTTTTGCCCAGGCTGGTGTGCAGTGGCATGCACGGTCACAGCTGCTGCAGCCTCAACTTCCCAGGCTCAAGCAATTCTTCTGCCTCAGTCTGTCAAGTAGCTGGGACTACAGGCATGCACCAACTCACCCAGCTAATTTTTTGTGTGTGTGTAGAGACAAGGTTTTGGTATGTTGCCCAGGCTGGTCTCAAACTCCCCAGTTCAAGTGATCCACCCACCTTGGCCTCCCAAACTGCTGGGATTACAGACGTGAACCACCGCACCTGTCCACCTTGTCTTTTTTTTTTTTTTTTTTTTGAGACAGAGTTTCACTCTGTAGCCCAGGCTGGAGTGCAGGGGCGCGATCTGGGCTCACTGCAACCTCCACCTCCTGGGTTCAAGCAGTTCTCCTGCCTCGGCTTCCCAAGTAGCTAGGATTACAGGTACCTGCTGCCACGCCCGGCTAACTTTTGTATTTTTTAGTAGAGACGGGGTTTCACCATGTTGACTAGACTGGTGTTGAATTCCTGCCTCAGCCTCCCAAAGTACTGGGATTACAGGTGTGAGCCACTGCATCCAGCCTCCACCTAGTCTTATCTTAATGAATGTACTTTGCACTCATCATTTTGGAAAGTCTTTTTTTTTTTTTTCTTTGAGACAAAGTCTCACTCTCTTGCCCAGGCTAGAGTGCAGTGGCGTGATCACAGCTCACTGCAGCCTTGACCTCCCTGGGTTAACATGATCGTTCCACCTTAGCTTCCTGCATAGCTAGGACCACAGGCACATGCTAGCATGCCCCACTAGTTTTTGTATTTTTTGTAGAGATAAGAATCGCCATGTTGCCCAGGCTGGTCTTGAACTCCTGAGCTCAGGTGATCCACCTGCCTCGGCCTCCCAAAGTGCTGGGATTACAGGCGTGAGTCACCTCGCCTGGCCCAAGTTTTCACTTTTTAATTCAATGTACCAACCCAGTCTAATGCAGAAACCACTGTCAGGGAACTGGTAGTACATTTGTGGGACTAAACTCTCACTATGGCTTAATTTTCATTTAAAGTAGGTATTTGAAATCATGGTTTCATTCAGCAGTGGCCGAAACTTGCTTTAGGTTTTGGTTTTCATCCGATAAACCTCCTGTCTGATGTTTTGTTTCCCTTCTGATACAGTCAACTTTCAAGTCAGTACAGGTTGAATGTCCCTTATCCAAAATGCTTAGGACCAGAAGTATTTTGGATTTTGGAATTTTTTTAGGATTTGGAATATTTGCATATACTTATTGAGATATCTTGGGGATGGGACCCAAGTCTAAAAACATGAAATTCATTTGTATCATTTGCACCTTATACATATAGGTGGAAGGTAGTTTTATAAAATATTTTCGATGCTTTTGTGCATTAAAGTTTTGAGTATATATATTTTTGTTTTGTTTTGTTTTTGAGACAGTCTCACTCTGTCACCCAGGCTGGAGTGCAGTAACACGCCCTCATCTCACTGCAACCTCCACCTCCTGGGTTCAAGCAATTCTTGGTGTCTCAGCCTCTTGAGTAGCTGGGATTAAAGGCGTGTTGTGCCATGACACCCAGCTAATTTTTTGTATTTTAATAGAGATGAAGTTTCAGCATATTCACCAGGCTGGTCTCGAACTCCTGGCTTAAAGTGATCTCCTGCCTTGGCCACCAAAAGTGCTGGGATTACAGGCGTGAGCCACTGCGCCTGGCGAGTTTTGACTATATTTTGACTGTAACCTGTCACATGAGGTAAGACACAGAATTTTTCACTTGTGGCATCATGTCTGTGTTCAAACAATTTTGGATTTCAGAGTATTTTGATTTCAGATTTTAATATTAGGGCTGCTCAACCTGTAGTTAACCAGCACATAATACTAAGGGTATACAGCTAGGTCAAACTCCACATTGACCAAAGTTCAGGTTTATCTATGTTTATGAAATGATAGCCAAGGAAATGTCTGGGTGGAAGAAAAGTTTGTTTTTACAAGCAACTGTGTTTCACATTTCATTCACTTAGCAGTGTAGAATAAGTCGTCTGTATTTCATGTGTAGAGGCCTTTATCTTAACTCACTTGAGTTTTGCTCGTGTTGCCCAGGCTGGACTGCAATGGCATGATTTCAGCTCACCACAACCTCCACCTCCCAGGTTCAAGCCATTCTCCTGCCTCAGCCTCCCAAGTAGCTGGGATTACAGGCACTCGCCACCATGCCTGGCTAATTTTTGTATTTTTTTTAATAGAGACAGGGTTTCACCATGTTGATCAGGCTGGTCTCAAACTCCTGACCTCATGATCCGCCTGCCTCAGCCTCCCAAAGTGCTGGTATTACAGGCGTGAGCCACTGCGCCTGGCTGGAAGTAACTGTTTTCCCTGCCCACCTGCAACCTGTGAAATAGTCTTAAGACTCAGCATCTCTATAGTCAGTTTGTAAATTCTCTCCTCTCAGGTATGCCTGGTGAGACTCGCCCTTCAATGCTGACTTGTTGATCGGTGTAGAGAACAGATAGAAGAACAAGGGAAAGGCAAAGAAGGAGAAAAATACAGGATTCAAAGACTGCTCTGCACACTGAAAAGTCATAGTGAGTCCTTCAAATGCTTAGATGACATAGTACTGAGATTTTGTTAGGAGGAACCCCAAATTTGTGTATGGACAGAGGATGATTTTAAATGCTTTGTTTACTACAGAAAACACATCAGCTTTTTAATATCAGCTGT